TACAACTTGTACTCGGTAAATGGGCTAGGTTAGTTTTAGTGACTCGGAATTGAGTCCCAAGGATGTTGTTTTAACAAGTTTGGGCTCAAGATAAACCTTAAAAACCTCCCATAATTCTATTTGAACCATGCACCAAGATGTTTTTACTACCATTAAAGGACTAAATCAAGGCATAAAATTCAGCAACACAGAATAGTCAGGTAATCGAAAGTAATCAATCAACTTAACCTAACCTTCCCTAATGCTTAGACTGGGGCGTTCGAAGTGGAGGTTTTGAGGGATGGAGGACCTTTCATACACCTACTCAGATGAATGTTTTAGGTGACAACCGAGGCCAGCTTTACACAGGGGGCCAAACAAATGCCTGGCCCCCTCAAAGCAAATCTCAATCACACAAGCACAAGCCTGCCTTGCCACTCTCTCCTCCTTCTACATTTAAGGGACACAGTGAACAAAACTAAATTTTTACGACTGCATACGCAGTGTCACATAATAACCATGTATGCTTCACATTATAGCGCTGCTGAAAAAATTCTGTGGTGTCTGGCCCAATGTTTCTTTAGAAAAAGAGGGGGGCATTTCGGCGCAACACTTGCATCCCATGATGATGCCCCCTTCACATTTCTGTCTGCCCTCTCATACTGGCATGCCTCGAACCGACCCTGATGACAACAACTTGATTTCTTGGACAGAAGGCAAACTAAAGTCCTCAGTTCCCTTCCTCTGAGTAGAAGAGCACTGATGTCCTAGGTCTCGAGGGTCAGAAGCACTGATGACCTAGATCGTGAGGGTCAGAAGCTTTCAGAGTCTGAAGAGTTAAGAAAAGATATCAAGATGGCGCCGACGATGGCAGCCTCGGAGCTTCGCTCTCTCCTTGTTTTTGTATTTTGTGTGTTTATATGTTTTTCGAGCCACAGTACTGTGGTCTCGGGCCACAATTCGGTGGTCTCATTCAGTAGAGAGGAACTTCTCAACATCAGAGAGTCCTCTCTTGGGATTTTTTCACCATCTTTCATCCATCCGAGGTTCACTGAGCTTCTGGCAAGCGGAGCGGCGGCACTATACGGGATACTGCGCCGGAGGCGTCGGAGGGGAAAGCGAGCTGGCGCCCTGGTAAAGCTCCGCAAAAGAGGACTTCGCACACCACTGCCTTCAATCCACCTGGCAAATGTCCGCTCTCTAAGCAACAAGATGGACGAGCTACTTCTTCTCACCGGTAAAAACTCGGACATCCGCAGATCAGCGGTTCTCTGCTTCACCGAGACATGGCTGAGTGAAAACATCCCGGACCGCGCACTGCTGATACCGGACTTCCAGCTGCTCAGAGCGGATCGCAGCGCGGAGCTATCAGGGAAGAAGCGAGGAGGCGGAATCTGCTTTTATATAAACGAAGGTTGGTGCAGAGACATAAAAGTGCTGGGGAAAACATGTAGTCCGGATCTGGAGTCATTCTCCATAATCTGTAAACCGTTTTACTCACCGAGAGAGTTTTCCTCGTTCATAATAATCGGCTCATATTTTCCTCCGCATGGCTGCACTTCTGCTGCGGAAAAACATCTTGCTGAGCTGATTACAGACGTGGAGAAAAACACCCTGACTCTTTCATTATAATACTGGGAGATTTTAACAGCGCAGATCTCTCTAATGAGCTCCCAAATACAGACAGCATATTAAGTGTCCCACCAGAGACAAAAACACACTGGACCACTGTTACACAGCTTTTAAGGACTCATACCATGCTGTTACCAGGGCTGCTCTGGGTTTCTCGGATCATTGCCTTATCCACCTCATCCCAACTTACAGACAGAAACTAAGAGCTTCCAAACCCACGGTTCACACTGTTAAAAGTGGACTGAGGAATCGAAGCAGATGCTACAGGCCTGCTTTGAATGCACAGACTGGACTGTTTTTGAAAACTCAGCCACTGATTTAAACGAACTAACTGATGTGGTGACATCATACATCAGTTTCTGTGAGAACATGTGTGTGCAAGACCAAGACCTTCTGCACCTTTGGGAACAACAAGCCATGGTTTTCACTCCACATCTCAGGAATCTGCGCAGGGACAAGGAAGAGGCTCACAGCAGTGGTGATTGGGCGCGGTACAGACAGGCCAGGAACAGACTTACAAAGGAGATCAAAGCAGCCAAGAGAAGCTATAGTGAGAAGCTGGAAAACAGCCTTTCTACTGGTGACACTTCGGCTGTATGGACTGGTCTGAGAAACCTGACTGCCTACAGAAGCCCCACCACCCTTCCTGAACAAAGTCCTCGCCTGGCCAACCGTCTGAATGGCTTCTACTGCAGACATGACAAGAAGCCATTCACACCTCAAACCAACTCCTCCACATCCCATTCAGGAACAGGTTCGACCAGCAAAGCAACCAACCCCCTACCTTCAGATCCTCTGCCTGCACTAAAGATCTCTGAGGAAGATGTAAACAGGCTCTTTCAGCGCATGAAAACAAAGAAAGCTGGAGGACCTGATAATGTCTCCCCATCATGCCTGAAAGCCTGTGCAAATCAACTCGCTCCAATCTTCACCCTGATCTTCAACAAGTCACTGGAGAAGTGTGAGGTCCCCTCCTGCTTCAAACGATCCACCATCATCCCAGTGCCCAAGAAACCCACCATCCTAGGATTAAATGACTACAGGCCTGTAGCCCTGACGTCTGTGGTCATGAAATCCTTTGAGCAGCTGGTGTTGAAGCACCTGAAAGACATCACAGGCCCTCTACTGGATGCCCTGCAGTTTGCGTACCGAGCAAACAGGTCTGCAGATGATGCTGTTAACTTAGGTCTACACTTCATCCTGCAACACCTCGACCACCCAGGGACCTACGCCAGGATCCTGTTTGTAGACTTCAGCTCGGCCTTCAACACCATCATACCAGACATCCTCCACCAGAAGCTCACTCAGCTCAACGTCCCAACCTCCACCTGTCAGTGGATCAACAGCTTCCTGACGGACCGACAGCAGCAGGTGAGACTGGGGAGCATCTTCTCCCGAACCAGATCAATAAGTACTGGTGCCCCCCAGGGGTGTGTTCTATCCCCACTCCTCTTCTCCCTGTACACAAATGACTGCACCTCAGCAGACTCGTCCGTGAAACTCCTGAAATTTGCAGATGACACCACTGTCATTGGACTGATCCAGGACGGTGATGAGTCTGCATACAGACAGGAGGTGGATCGGCTGGTACACTGGTGTAGTCAGAACTGCCTGGAGCTAAACCCACTCAAGACTGTGGAGATGGTGGTGGACTTTCGGAGAACACCCCCCCCCCCCCAATACACCCCCCTCACCATCCTCAACAACACCGTGTCGGCTGTGAACCACTTCAGATTCCTAGGAACCACCATCTCTGAGGACCTGAGATGGTCTTCACACATAGACACTGTTCGGAAGAAGGCCCAGCAGAGACTGTACCTCCTGAGGCAACTCAAGAAGTACAACCTTCCACAGGAGCTGCTGGTCATCTTCTACACTGCCATCATTCAGTCTGTCCTGTCTTCATCCATCTCCGTGTGGTTCGGTTCATCCACAAAACAGGACAGGTCCAGACTGCAACGAACAATCAGGTCTGCAGAGAGAATCATCAGGGCTGACCTTCCCTCCATCCAAGACTTATACAGGTCAAGGGTCAGAAAAAGAGCTGCTAAAATCTCTGCAGACCCCACACACCCTGCACATAAACTGTTTAGAGTTCTGCCTTCAGGCCGACGCTACAGAGCGCTGTTCACAAAAACCAGCCGCCACAGAGACAGTTTCTTCCCCCAGGCTGTTTCTCTGTTGAACATTCAATAAAATACAAAACAACAGCATACAGATGTTGCAAATGCACCTTTTTATTTATATATGTGTATATTGTACATTGTAAATATGTATATTCTGTAGTGCAAAAACAAAACCAAAGAGCAAAGTGTACCGGAGTCAAATTCCTTGTTTGTATGTACAAACTTGGCAATAAAGCTGATTCTGATTCTGATTCTGATTCTGAAAAACCCATTAGGATGCAAAAGGGTTTTGTCCAGCATGTATGGAAACATGGGACTTGGAAAAACCATGCTTGTTGAGTCCACTGACTAAGTTTACTCAGTGTTCTGGCCAAAAACAAGTCCTTTAAGTCCTTTAAGGCTCACGGGTGGAACCTCTTTGGATTGCAGAATTCTCCGGGTATATTAAACTATCTACAGTGTTCTTTCCCTGTCTTTGATCCTGCTTGAAGAATTCTTGCTAGAAACAACCAAGCAGTTCCTCTATTTTGCCCTTTTCATAAAACAGATTGTAACCTTATTGGCTGGTTCTTGTTGCCATGCAAGTAACCAATTATTCTTTTGGTCACTTGCACCTAAGCTTATCCTTGTCTTCGGATTCCCACTAGATTCCCAGAGCTTTGTGTTAACAATTTTCTATTTTTTCTAAGGGATTTTCTATAAGTCACCACTCCCACTTTCCCAATTCTCGGTTTTTGCCGACAACCTTAAATTTTCTCTTAATCACTGACTTTAAATCTTACATCGTTGCTGCTCAACTGTATTCACTTTTAGTGATTTACAGCATTTACTTCAGTTTATCACTTTAACTTGATTTTTTTATTCATACATTAAATGAATTAACAATACTTATCTTACATATATAGTTGATTAACAAAGTTCAGTAAAAATTATCATCATGAAGATCAAACCTTGTTGCGTTTCTATTCATCAATCATCAGTATAGGCATTAGTCAATCAGTCAGTCATTTTCTACTGCTTATTCCATAGTGGGTCGTGGGGAAGCTGGTGCCTATCTCCAGCAGTCTATGGGCAAGAGGCAGGGTACACCCTGGACAGGTCGCCAGTCTATCGCAGGGCAACACACAAACAACCATGCACACACTCATTCATACACCTAAGGGCAATTTTAGAGTGACCAATTAACCTAATAGGCATGTCTTTGGAGGAAGCCGGAGTACCCGGTGAGAACCCACGCATGCATGGGGAGAACATGCAAACTCCATGCAGAAAGACCCCCGCCGGGAATTGAACCCAGGAATTGAACCCAGGACCTTCTTACTGCAAGGCAACAGTGCTACCAACTGTAACACCGTGCAGCCCTATAGGCATTAGTATGGGATCATAATTCAATCATTCCATCATTGATATGTTTAATATGTGGTTTTGAAAGAAATCGTCCTTCATTCTCTTCTTCATGACATCTTATCCATGTAGTATAATCATTATTCATTTAATAGTCTAAAGATTCATTTCTCATTTCATCGTATGTTATTACTCTAGTCTCAATCATAGTGGTACACTTCTGCAAAAGGAAAAAGGATTATTACATGATTTCAAATGGGCCTCCCCAGTCCTTACAGCCTCAGAATGTGAATATTCACTGATTTAAATTTCATTGATTTAATTGTGAGAATTTAATAATTTCCACATGGATACATGGAAAGATCTCACCTCCTTTTTTTGACAACTGTCAACATTTTTCTTTTGACATTACTGGGCCACGTCACTAGGCCACGTCACGTGCCTTGTTGTACAAGTCCTCATGAAGGCTTCTGAATCGCTCTTTGTCCAACCCGTCACCCAGAGCCTGTTTGCCATGGGAGACCCTGCCAGGGGCATTTAAGCCCCGGGCAACATAGCCTCTAGGATTATTCGAGCACTCAAACCTCTCCACCACCTTACCGTGGTGGAGAGGGGTTTTGTGAAGGCATTCGACCGTGTCCCTCATTGTGCCCAGTGGGGGACTCTCCAGGAGTATGGAGTAAGGGGCCCTTAATTAGGGCCCCGACTTATAGGGCTACATTACAAGTGGAGATCAAGTGCAGCAGGAGTTTGGTCCGCATTGCCAGCATTAAGTCGGTGCATACCGGTGCATCTTGGTGCATGTTGGACACCGGCAGGGCTGCACTTTGTCACCGGTCCTGTTCATAACTTTTATAGACAGGATTTCTAGCCACAGACAGGAGCTGGAGGTTCTGTCTGGGGAGTGGGAAGCCTGGATGTCTCTGCCTAGTCTGCGGCCCCCGCAACCCAGTTCCGGATAAGCAGAAGATGACAACGATGACGAGTCTGTGTATTGTTTATCTTTTTTAATATATATACTGTATATTTAAAAATATATATATTTAAAACATTTACTGACCATTAGGGTCATAGAGTTTAACCAAACTGGTCAAAAAACTATAAGCTGAACTAATCAGAAATTAGGTCATACTGGTGCAACTTCAGCAGTTTAGCTTATGGAGAAGTGTTGGTCTTCCTCAGCAACAATTGTGTAGCACTTCTGCAAATTTCGTAGCAATGGAGCGTATCTTTGCTATTCATGACATCTCAGATTGATCCAGTTGTATAAGGTGTAGTGTTAGATGAGAAAAAAGCCAATGCTTTAGCATTATCTAGCTGTGTATCCTCCTACACCATTGAGAAGGAAGGAAGATAAGCAATAGATATGCAATAGTATGACTGGGGGAATAATAACCAAGGTACTTCTTTGTTAAGTTGCATGTTATGTGTAGATATACAGTAGCCCTGGCTCATTTCTTGAGTTTAGGACCCATTTTATGCTTCATAGGCCAGATTAAAGTGGTTTTCTAAGTAACAAACAAACAAACTTTAAAAATGATCAGGCATTGCAAAGAAAATTAGTTTAAAAAAAAAGCATCCAGTTTAAAAGCAAAGCAAACTCAATCCGAGCTAAAACACAAAAGAATTAAAAATATCAAAATGACCAGGACATCATTAATCATTCTGAAATGTTGTTGTTGATGTTTGTCTGTGTTTTTGTTAACTTTTCTGATTTTCAATCATGTTAAATATTAATTGCTGTTGTGGGTGCTAATTAAAATGTCTATATATTTCTAATGTGGGTCTGGAATTTGTTGTGATTTCTTGTTTTTTTTTATTATTGTTATGTCCTCAGAAACACACTTAACATGCTTATTTTTACAAGAGGTTTATGTTGGAAACATAAATACATGCTTGTGGTGGATTAAACAAATAAAGTATACACAATTAAAGAATGATTTTTAATGTAGTATTCTTTCCTATCTCGCTTTTTAATGTTCAGACTTAATGTAATTTAAATATTCAGACCCCCCCATTAACCAGACATAACATTAACATGCACTGTTTTAACTACCTTTTACTTCTTATCCAACTAGTATGCTCACATGAGGACATATTGTAATTAATAGTGATGTCGTAAAAAAAACAGTTTTATTTTGTGGTTTCCGTGAAAGGCAGATTCATTTTGTCTGTTAAACAAATGCCCAGGAATATAATACTTGTAATGGTTTCAGATGTTATCTTTGTGATCATTACTAACTGATTATGTATTTTCTTCTTTGCACAGGCTAACAAAAAATTGCAATTGAAGGCCACGAGAATGAGGGGAAAGTGTCAGGATACAAATATTGTCTTTAACACTTCTCACCCTTGGAATAGATCTTCTTGAATTTCCGTTTGATAAGCAGATAGAACATCCTCCTGTTACTCTGGCTCTCCTGTTCCAGCTGGTTTCCCATTCTCTGGATAATGTTTCACTTATTCTTGAACACAATGTGTTACTGCTGCTACCAACCTGTGGTGGTGTTGTAATTATGAATATGAATATATTATTTAATATTAATACTTTAATATTTTATTAAATAATATTTTGGTCTGTTAAGGGTTGTCCTTAGAATACCAGCCCAATAATGTGGTGGTATTAGGACAAAATTGAAAGGGATGAGCCAAGCTCTGACATTAATGAACAGCAAAACTCTGCACACACATGGAATGAATTCACACAATTTCTTAAAATACAATAATTTATTAACCAAAATAAGTCAACCCAAGTAAAACATATTTCAACCAACAAACTCTTTACTATGCTAAAACAATCCAACTAAACTACCAAGCAGAATGACAGAATAAGGAAGACTAATGAGCTATGTACAATATAAACAAGTTGATCAAAGATGGTTGAAAACCATGACCGAAAGAGTGATGCAACATTACCATGCAATGTTATTTATGCAGTAATTGCAATACCTTTAGACAACCATTCACAATGCAAGATCAGATAAAATATTATTTTAATAAAATAATATTTTAAAGAATGATTTGCTGAATAAAACCAACCTTCTGGATGACCAATTCTCAGCGGTCTTTAATTAGCTACCTTTATTTATTAAAATAATATTTAAAGAAATATTATTTTGAATAAGAACCAAATCTTTGAGAAATGGGCTTAATTGTGTTACTTAGTTATCAAGTTTAGTAAAATAATATTTAGGGAAAATAATATTTTACTAGATTGAAAACTAACAACCTTTTTGGGTAAATGATCTCAGCAGACAAGCACGTGTTCTTAGCTGTTAGCGGTTAAAGCTAACAAAAGAAGCTTATAGCTTATAATCAGAATCAACACATATAGTACAGACCAAAAGTTTGGACACACCTTCTTATTCAAAGAGTTGTCCTTATTTTCATGACTATGAATATTGTAGCTTCACACTGAAAGCATCAAAACTATGAATTAACACATGTGGAATTATATACTGACACTTTCAAAGTTTTCCCAATTGTTCGGATTGACTGACCTTCATTTCTTAAAGTAATGATGGCCACTCGTTTTTCTTTACTTAGCTGCTTTTTTCTTGCCATAATACAAAACAGTCTATTCAGTAGGACTATCAGCTGTGTACTGTATCCACCTCCTGCACAACACAACTGATGGTCCCAACCCCATTTATAAGTCTTGAAATCCCACTTATTAAACCTGCCAGGGCACACCTGTGAAGTGAGAACCATTTCAGGTGACTACCTCTTGAAGATCATCAACAGAATGCCAAGAGTGTGCGTAGCAGTAATCAGAGCAAAAGCTGGCTACTTTGAAGAACCTAGAATATAAGACATATTTTCAGTTATTTCACACTTTTGTGTTCATTATATCATTCCACATGTGTTAATTCATAGTTTTGATGCCTTCAGTGTGAAGCTACAATATTCATAGTCATGAAAATAAGGACAACTCTTTGAATGAGAAGGTGTGTCCAAACTTTTGGTCTGTACTGTACCTTTAAAACACCATTAATAAAAGGGTTAAAATGCATAAGCATGGACGGCGCGTTATGGCCAATCTTCTGTGTTTAAAATCACCCTTTAAATAAAGTTTGTCTTAACTTAAAAAAAAAACCACAAACATAGAACACACAAACTGAGCACATGTGCTGAGCAGATAATCTGCTAGCACTAAGATGGCTGAGTTTCAACACAAACAAAACCAAACGTCATAAAACGAAAAATGTTTAGATTATTTCATTCTAAACTACTTCTCTCTGCCCAAAACACAATCTCTTATGTGAACCGCACTGAGGAAAAGTTGTCCGAGGTGACGAAGTTGAAGAAAGCATCCACAGTGAAAAAAGGGTTAACTGCAGCTAACCTCCGTAGCTGTGGGGAGGGGCGGCTTGCTCTGTCGGGCCAGCCAAACTGCACATTACTGTTATGATTTGGGGTTCTTTGGTTTTTGGTTTCTGGTTTTTTCTTTATATGTTTTTCACAGTTAAGGTTTTCAGCCGTCCTTCTGTTATTATTATTCTTAGATTTTGAATCATGCTTCTGTTTATTATCTTCCTGGTTATACTTTAGTTTCATGTTTTTCTGGTTATGTTTCTATTAGTTTGTATCCTTGGATTTTCGTTCTGCTCAAGCCATGTTTTGTCCTGTTAATTAACTTTATTCGGTTCACCTGCTCCAAGTCAATCTGTCTCCTTGCTCCACCTGGTTCACACTCCATAAATACACACCTGTTCAGTTACACGGCGCGGAAACATTCCAGATCATGCTCATGTCTTGTTTACTGATCATGCTCACGTCTTGCTTTTTGGACCATGCCATGCCTGTCTAGCCAGCCTGCTTCTGTTTTGTTCCTGCCTCTTCTGAGAGTGAGTTTTTGTTTGTTAATTAAATCCTTTATCACTTACCATCACACTGCCTGCTCGTCTGCATTCTGGGGTCCCACATAAGGCAAGTCCTAACAGTTACAGCTGTAGCCACGGTGATACGGTCCTGTTGTCCTTCCTTCAGACCAGGAAAAACTGCTCCACTTGGT